ACCAGAGAGAAAAGCAAGCACAGAGCCACTTCTGACTTCAGGGTATTTGCTGATCCCAGAGAATCAGAACCTCGGGTTTGACAGCTTTAAGGGATGAGAAGGACAGAAATGAAGTCTAGAGTCCATATAAGATGAAGGGTCCAGGGGCACCTGGGCGGCTCAGTGTGTTAAGTGTTAAGACTCTTGATTTCGACTCAGGTCATGATCTCACAACTCGTGAGTTCAAGCCCCGCAACAGGCTTGAGCTGACAGTGTGGAGCCTGCTTGGGATTCTCTGTCTCTCCCTCTCTCCCTGCTCCTCCCCTACTCACTTTCTGTCTCTCTCTCTCTCATAAACAAACAAACAAACAAAAAGATGGAGGGCCCATTGGGAGTCCCAGCCACCATTACCACATCTTCCCAGTGAGAATGCAGTGAAGGGAGCAGCTCTAGCCTGGAATAATTGCACTCCCAGAGAGTCACCTGGCTTCCCCAGGTGCTCTCAGACCCTGACCCATGTTCAAGAGTTTTCAGAGACACCTGCATTTGGCAAACAGAAACCTTTCCTGAATGGTTTCCAAACTTTCATTGTAGTCCTTGATTTTTCCTATAAATAATTTCCTCAATACAATGCTAGTACACAAAGACACTCAGCAAAATAATCTTTGTGAACAGAAGAAAAATTTTCCCTTTGTGGAAAGGGGGAAAATGGTAACTGTATAGTGGAGGAGCCTGGCAAATGCCACCTTAACTAAATGATCAAGGTCAACTTCCTGGTAATAAGGGCACCTCACCTCTGTGGTACTCTCAAAAAACCCTCAACTTCAGTCTAATCATGGGAAAAACAAGAAGATGAACAAAAATTAAAAAGTGGTCTACAAAAAATAAAAATAAAAAAAGAAGTAAAAAATTCCCCACCAAAGCCCAAAAAACTAAAAAACTAAAAACTAACTAAATAAGAACAAAACAAAAAGCTAACGGAGGACCATGAGGGAGAAGAAGGGGAAAAAATAGTTGGGGAGAGGGAGGGAGGCAAACCATGAGAGACTCTTGAATGCTGAGAACAAACTGAGGGCTGATGGGTGTGGGGGGAGGGGGAGGGGGAGTGATGGGTATGGGGGAGGGCACTTGTTGGGTTGAGCACTGGGTGTTATATGGAAACCAACTTGACAGTAAACTGTTTAAGAAATAAAAAACGAACAAAAACAAAACAAAAAGAAAAAAAATTACAAAGCGGCCTACAAAATGCCTGACCAGTAGTACTCTTCAAACTCTTAAGATCATGAAAAGGAAAGAGAGACTAAGAAACTGTCACAGACCAGAAGTGAGTAAGTGACAGGCTGGCTAGATTAAATGGGGAGCCCTGGATTGGATCCTAAAAGCAGAATATGTGCATTGATGGAAAATCTGGTGAAACTGAAAAAACATGCAGGGTTTAATTCACAGTGACATTACCAATGTTGGCTTTTCATTTTTGAAAAATGTAACCAGAGTCACGTAAGAGGATAATGTCACAGGAAATAAATCTGGGTGTGCAGAGTACAGAAACTTTTGCTCTGTCTTTGCAACTTTTCTGTAAGTATAAAATCATTCCAAAATTAAAAGTTGATTTAAAAAACTGTGAGAATCAACTGAAACAACAGAAAACAGGGTTGCAAATACCTCCTATGCTGACAATATCAGATGCCAATATAAAACTTCTCTAATCTACTAAGTCTTTTCTAAAAGAAGCCTACAGCAAACACCATCCATAACTGTGCACTGATCCCTCTGAAATTAGGATCAAGATGAAATCATTGCCATCAGTACTTGTATTCATCATGTACAAAGTACCTAGCCTACACAGTAAGGCAAGAAAAAGGAGTAATGAGTAGAAGGATTAAATCAGAAGAAACAGAACTGTTATTGTGTTTACATTATGTAAATTCACATATATACATATATAACTCTATATAAGTCATTAGAATTCAAAAGAGTTTGGCAAAGTTTTCATTTATTTTTGTATCTTTGTAACAAGCATCTAGAAAGTCAATTTTAAATTATGTAGATTTGACATAAAGATACCAAGAATCTATGAATAAATCTAGCAGAAGTATAAGACCTCTACAGAGAGAATTATAAATTTATTAGAAAATATATTTTAATCAATAATATGCATATACCATAGTAATGAGATAGAAGAGACAATATTATAAAGGTATCAATTCTCTTCAAACTGATCTATAGATTCAATGCAATCTAAACAAATTCCTGGCAAGATGTTGACAAGCCAATCTGGAGACACAAAGAGCCAAGCCACTTTGGAAGACAAGAAGGTAAGAAGATTTGCTGCAACAGATATCAAAAGTTCATCTGAGGCCTAGGTCACGGTGACGACGTGGTGCATGAGGGGTAAGGAAAGGCTCACGCAGGCCAGTGGTGGAGGAGAGAGCCTGTGAAACGGGCCATGCATACATGACCACTGTGTTAGTGAAGACAGTGGCATAGCAGATGGGCAGGGGGAAAAGATGGTGTAACTAAGAAAAGGCTCCTCAGGAAAAAAAAAAAATTGATAAGAATAAAATGAGAGCCTTCAAACTGTAGATCAGATGGGAAGCAATTCGGTCTCAGATAAGATGAGACATTAGGAGAAAAAAAAGCATTCCCCCAGACTAAGCCTGTGTATAGCGGAGATTGGGGGTCCATTACCAGCGAAACAGCTGTAAAACCACCATTGGCCTGGGAGAAAGTAAGTAAAACAGCACTGAAACCAAACTGCAGACAGAATCGACCTGGAAGAACAACCCAGGAGATGAAGAAAGCATCCCCAAAGCACTTACAATCACACAAAAACCTCAATAAATCAAGCAAGAGCCTGAAGATGGGATGATATATATATATATACATATATATATAGTTTACAGTGGAGCCTGGAGAGATCTAGAAACAAATTCAGATACCTAATCTTCCCCCCTCAAAAAAAAAAAAAAGACACAATCAACTTAAAGAAATAGAAATAACAAGAAATGAAAAAGCTACTAAAAAATAATTGTTATGAAAGAAAAGTTTGAGACCACCATTGTGAGCGTAAAGTTAAAAAGTGAAAGATGAAAATTTAGGGGGCAGACAAAAGCTGTGAAGGCTAGCGTTGCTTCAGAGGAAGAATCATTTTGCCCCACAATTGAAAAAGAAAATGTTTTTCTGAGAGGTAAGAGAAGAAACTTCCTGTGCAATGAAGATAGAATTGAATCTTCCATCTTAAGAACACAAGAACTGTGGTTAAAGAGTATGCATGAAATTCATCAGTAATTTTTCTGTATCACTTTAATTATTTATAACAACGAGGGTGTCTCTAGCTTATAAATCAATAGTAAGTCTGTACTGTAAATTGTCAGCTTTGATAAGATAAAGTCACCATAAACAGAGTTCAAAGACAAGGTGAGTATATTTATAACTTTCAGAATATTTAGCAAATTCTCCCTTTTCATCCAAGAAAGGACAATTATGTCAACTCAACAACATCGGCAATAAATAAATCAGCAATACACAAAAGAGGCGAACAGCCAATAAACATTAAAAACTGTCCAAACCTCCCCCTGTAACCATGAAAATGCACATTAAAAGAATATGTGGCTCCTTATCCAGCACCTTTGCAAAATTTGGGCACGGGGAGATGGTTATCTCATTTGATATTGTTAAGAGAATATATTGGTTCAGCTACTTAGAAAGGCAATTTGTCAGGGTCTATAATCAAGTAAATATTAATAACCTTTGCCTCCACAATTCCATGTTTTTGGTTATTGACACAAGACAGATACTTGTAAATGTGCAAAAATGTAAGGAAATAGATTATTCTTACCACAGCTCCTTGGTAAAGTGAGCAACTGAATATGAACTAAATGTCCATCAATGGGCAGTGGGAGTGGTTTAAAAATTATGCTATATCAATTCTATGGAATAGGATGTAGCTCTTAAAAAGAATGAAGTAGATCTATATGATTGTTAAGGTGATCTCTAGGATTTTCATTCTTAAAATAAGAGAAAATGAAAAATGGGAAACAGCAGATACAATGTAATCCCACTGATTAAAAAACAAGGCACAAAGTGCATATATAGGAAAATAAGCTATACATGGAAATGCACAGAAAAATATCTGAAAGGCCGTGTCCAAAACACTTACTAGGACCCGGATAAGAAGCTGTGCTGTGGTAGACCGTAAGCAGGACTTTTCCCTTCTTTATTTTCATTTTGTGTAAAACTTTATGAACAAGAATGTATAATGTATTTCTTTTGTATGAAACAACAAATTAATTAAAAATATTAAGTAATATCACTTCTGACCTAATGCTAGAGAATAAGATAGGGGGATTTCTACCCTCCTTTCCCCTCCCTCCTTTTTTTTTTTTTTTTTTTTTGTCAGAGGCATAACCCCTTCCAGAACAGAAAATCAAAGTAAAGATAAAAGTACTGAGCCTACATTACTACTCTTTGGCGGTCTGGAGTCTTTCTCTTCCCTTTTACTTCCTTTGGTCATGATGACGAGGAAGAATGCCCCCCACCCTCTTCAACCCCCCCCCCCCCAGCCAGAGATAGGAATGGTGCATGAGCTGATGGAGTCCTGTTCACAGGACAGGTGTGACACCACGGCACCCAGTGTTTAAACCTAGGCTAGATGTTCGCCCTGAATTTTATGTTTTCTCAACCACCTTCTTTGAAATGACTCGTGAAAGTAGGGGAGGCCTGAGGGAAACGAGAAGGTTCAGAGGTCATGAACAAAAAACAAGTCCCTGTCCTAAAACCCTGGGGCGTCAGCAAGGCCTTTGCCTGAGCAGCATTGCAAAACAAGAAAGTCCTGTGGACAGTGGCTTGTAGTATGAAAACCTTACTGTTTCATTACCTAGTCCTCTACTTTATTTATGATGCAGGCGAGCATTTTTGGAAACCGGGGGTTAAGTAGAGATTCAGTTTAGTATCTTTAGAAGGACACTGAAGCAGTCCGTGGCCAGAGAGAGAGGTTTAAAGGGAGGAAGATGAAGACTGACCTGGTGCTGAGGTCGCTGCCCCCATCAGCCATCTTTCCACTCTGGGCCCCGCCTGGGCCCCGCCTGGGCCTCAAGTGTGGCCTCCAAACCCTCCAGTTGCGGTGGCCTGGGTCAGGGCAACTGCCGAGCCCAGAGCAGGAAGTTTGTTTGTGAATTGACTCACACAGACACAGCTCCGCCCAAATGGGGAAAAAGGAAGTGAAAGTATCTCTCAGTTGCTGGGCAGACATTGCTTCCTGCCTGCCCCTCCACTTCGGTTCTCAGGCCTCAAGACTAGTGGCAGCAGGAACAGAGGAGGAGAGAGAGTCAGGGCCTGGAGGAGCAGGGCCAGCCCCCGGGGGGGCCGCTTGTCTGTGCAAAGACACAGAAATACCTATGAGTCAATAAATGTTTCTGTCTTTCTATCTAAGGTTTCCGAGGATAACGGGTGGGGAGGAGGGAGCTGTGTGTTGCCACCTTCTCTTTGCCAGAGAGGAAGGGGAGGGGGGGGGGGGGGGGGGGGGGGGGGGAACAAAAGAAAAAAACAGAAGCTTAAAGTCTCCCTTCCTGTGGGAGAGCCTGGACCCAGACTGAGAAAGGTCCCAGCATGGGAACACAGGGCTGGAGAGAGCCCAGATGCTCAGCATCACAAACCAAGGGGAATGTTCTTAGTGTTCCTGGAAATCAGTCAGAGGTAAGAGAGAGATCGTCAAGGCTGCAGCCAACGTGGTGTCAGTGGTGATAGCTCAAGTGCAAAGGTAATATCTCAGGTGACAGTGGTAATATCTCAGCCCTGCCCTGACCGCAGGGCTGCTTCTGAATTGCATCCAGGGATGAGGAGACACCTGGAGAGAAGTCGTTGGAAAGCTGTCTGGCACAGGCTTCCCTTGGATGGAGACGGAAGTTGGAACCAAGATGATCTAGAAGCACATAAATGAGCAGGTGAGCCCCACTGGGAGGTGACCCTCGGTCTCGGAGTCCTGTCTGTTCACAGATTTCTCATTCATATTCAGAGTCATAGTTCCACAAAGCATGAGAAGTGACCCAGAAGACTCAATTACATTTGAAATGGCAGGGAAAGGAAGTTTCTACTCGCTTTCCATGGATGTTCTGTCTTCCCCCCAAAGGGGCGAACATCAGTCTGGATGGGACTCCAGGATGCTGCTAAGGACATCTTTAACCATGAGCGGGGTCTCTGTGCACCGGGTGCTGCACATATGTGGATCTCTGCCCCTCTCCCTCTCTCATTCACTCTCAGGGGTACAAGGACTAGTAAGCTGAGCTACCGTTGGGCACAGCTTTCCTTGGCTTCTGACCTCCATAGGACATGTGGCCCAGAGAAGGTCTGACACAACTTTTCTAGTGTCCCCTGTCTCTGTCTGTGGGCAGCAGGCGGACCCAGGCCACCACTCTGCTGGGTGTTGGCATTAATGTGCCAGCTTTTCTGTGGCTCTGCTTAGGGTTGCTGAGATGAGCACTCAGGATAGAGGCCACTGAGCAGCCAGCCAGCGGGGTAGGGAGATCCACAGTTGGCTCTTCTGGGGTTGACAGTGCCACCTGGGGCTGGTCCTGGCTCAGAAGGAGGGAAGGAGCCGTCTCCGTGGGGCCATAGGCAACTGGGCAGCCATCACCCCGTAGGAGCAGCGGCTCCTGAGGAATCTGGAGGCCTCCCTGAAGAAAACAAAGCTTCTGTGATCCAGAAAAAGCCAGACCCATGACAGGACCAGCTTGAGGAGTAGATTTCACTCCTGAAAGTCCTCTTGGACTAATGTGAAGGAAACAAGGATGCCCCTGGGACACTTTCCACAACTTCAAGGAATACTGACCCCAGGGCCATCGTCACTGTCCCGAAAGTAGCCCCAGTGCTCAGCCTGGAGGCCAGGAAAGCCGGAGAGGCCACACTGAGGAGGGACCATGGGGCAAAGGACCCACCAAGAGGACAGGCTCCTTAAGTGTCACCAGGAGTAGATTCTGCTCAGACTGTCACTGTGGGGCCAAGTCTCCAATCTGGGAGACCCTTGTGGGGACCAGAGGTTTGTCCCTGGGAACTTAAGGTAGGGATAAAGGGATAGAAGGAGCAGCAGTGGCTGCTGGGGCAAGGGGATCAACCCCCTTGGCACCTGTGTGCATGTAGAAATGGAGGGGAGCAGCGCCTGGGACCTATGGCCCTGCTCCAATGTCCCTGGAAGGGACATCCATCAGCAGGACTCACCTTGACCCCCTGCCCTCCCCTCCTTTCTGGGGAGAGTCTCTGGTGGAAGGGGTGAGTCTGCTCCTTGTTGCGTCTTCCTGGGCTCATCACGCCTGGAGAGGCCAGAGCTCTGTTGGCTTTTCCAAAGTCAAGTGCCCAGGGACAGGCGCTTGGGGGGCTGTGGGAGTTTAGGGGGTGTCTGATTGACTGGAGCAGCCTGAGGCTGCATGTGTGTAGATAAGCTCAATTTGGGGGTTCGGTTTTAGGGATTCCTTTTTTGCTATGCACTAAGCTACGACCCACACTGTAGCTTTTATCAGGAAGAAAGACGGTATTTTGAACCCAATCTGTTTCACTTTTATATCTCTCTGTTGGTTTGGAATGCAGGTGAGGGAAAGGGACGCTCTTTGGAGGGGCCCACTAACACCCTAAATTGAGTCCAGCATATGGGATACATCTCTTTCTATGAGTTCTTGTCTATCTGTGCCCCAGATGGGTAGAGAGGCTGGAAGTCCTACCCTCTTGCAATTGCATGGTCACACAATCATGTGTGGGTTCAGTGGGCATTTGATGGCAATATTACAGTTTTGATGAACTAGGGTGGGGTGGAGACCCTTCTCCTTCTAAGCAGAATCTCAACGATTATGCAGGTGGTGGTTGACTTGAGGAATCCTGAAGCTGCGAAGTTGGTACAAAGCCAGAGGGATTGCTGGGGGTGAAAATGTGAGGATTTCTATAAGGAAGGAAGTAAATCCTTGGAAGAGGGCCCGGGAAGAGGCATCTGGGCAGAGAAAGAAATGGTTAAGGGGCGAGAGGAGGGAGGGAGAGAACCATTGGGCAATTTGGGAAAATCCATCCGGGCCACTTTCCGAAGGTCGGCACTTCCCCCTAGTGATCTCGCTCAGTATTACAGCCTCCTGAGACCGGATTCTGTTGCCGATTCAGAGAAACTGAAACCGAAAATCCCTCTGGCAACTATCGAAACTCCTTGAAATTAGTCATAGCAGTGCCATTATTTCTTTCCAAATAAAGGCTAACCGATTTAAGGATGGGATTCTGAGATCATTTTGATATTTGTCAGTTCAAGCACACAAAAACAAGTTTATAGCCTAGTCAGAGAAGTCCAGGGCACACCTGCTGACCGTGACCTGGAGGGGAAGGGAAGGGAGACTGACTTATCAACAGGAACTCTTGCTAGAAATTGTTGTGGTTAGGGAGGCCGTGGGTACTCCCTGGGCACCTGTGCCCAGGACTGAGAAAGTCCCTCACAAGGATGAGGTTGTTCTTCTCAGACTGTCAGCTATAACAGCCTGGCCCAGGGAAATCCAAATAGAGTTTCTCCTATGAGCTCTAATGAGCTCTCCCTTGGACCAAGTCCTATGCTTTTTCCCTGCCCGGGGCGTGTGTTTTCTCACATGTGCAAGTACTGTACCCATTAAACGGACTAGCACCCTGGAGGGTCCAGCACTAGTACATAAGCACCCACGTAGGTACGGCCAAGTCCTTAAGTGGCCCTTGGAACACATCGGTGTGGCCCTGAAGTTCCACCAAGCTCTGATGGGCATCATGTGTCTCACCTTACACTGAGGTTTGTCAGGAGTAGGTGGCTCCCCGGGTCTCCTGGTACAATGGTTTATGGGCAAGACCACAACCAGCATAGTTGTACTGATTTCTCAAGGCAATGACACTGAAGCTAAAAATATACCTCTCTCATTGGACTCTGATCCATTATCCTGGGGCATAAAGGGAATACAGGGAAAGTTCCCTGGAGGTTGAATGCCATCTCTGCAGCTTCTTCCACCATTTGAGAATGGCCAGTATTAGTCTACAGGGTGACACTTTCCCTTCCATAGAGAAAGGAGACCTTTCTGCCATTTCCAGGCATTCCATCAATAGCCTATGGGACCCCCTCCCTTGACTAATTCTAGGGAGTGAAGGTGGGAAAATGAGTGGGGCTTGGGGTGAGTGAGGAGTTCACATATATCCAAGAGCCTGGATTCCAGACTAAACCAGAAGGGCAATAATTATTTCCTTGAGGTGTTCCTGCAAGAACCCAATATTGGAAATTGTGTCCTCACTGCATCAGGTGCTTGAACAGGTTGGGCCTGGATTTCCCACTTGCCATCAGACAAAGGTACAACGTAGAAAACCAGGGCCTGTCTTGTATTTCCTGAATAGACAAAGTAAAGACATCAGCCAGCTCCTATAGGGCACTTCAGACCACAGGCAATGACACAAGATTTTGCAAAATCTTCTTTTTAAAAAAATTTTTTTAAATGTTTTATTTATTTCTGAGAGAGAGAAAGAGAGAGAGAGAGAGACAGCGTGAGCAGGGGAGGGTCAGAGAGAGAGAGGGAGACACAGAATCCGAAAGAGGCGCCAGGCTCTGAGCTGGTTGTCAGCACAGAGCCTGACGCAGGGCTTGGACCCACAAACTGTGAGATCATGACCTGAGCTGAAGTCGGACACTTAACTGACAGACACCCAAGCGCCCCTGCAAAAACTTCTAAGAGCAGACATGTCCAAGGACATGCAGAGTGCATCTGCCATGGACTCCATCACTATTCCCAGTGACCCTGAGGAGAGGTCACAGCTACCAGACAAGCCAGGGGCTATGTCATTAAAATTTTTTTTTAATGTTTATTTATTTTTGAGGGAGACAGACAGAGTGTGAGTGAGGGAAGGACAGAGAGGGAGGGAGACACAGAATCTGAAGCAGGCTCCAGGCTCTGAGCTGTCAGCACAGAGCCCAACGTGGGGCTCCAACTCACGAACCATGAGACAATGACTTGAGCAGAAGTTGGCCGCTTAACCGAGTGAGCCACCCAGGCGCCCCCAGGCCACATCATTTTATAGCTATGACTTGTGCTCCTGAGACCTCAAGGCTGGGGTCCTGCATCTCCCCCCATCTAGACACAGGCAGCTGTAGATGGGCCGTTGGAGGTGGTGGGATGAAACGTGG